CCCTCCCGTGGCTGCTGGCCCCACGCGTGAGTGTCCCCGCACCGTGTCATCTTGTGCCACCACCATTCCCCGGGCTGTGTCCCACCGGGTCCTGTCCGATGCTATGAGCTTCCTCCCAGCAGTGCCCTCCCCCTGCCATCTCACGGCCGATGCTCTGCACTTCCCCAGCGGCGCCCGCCCGGCGCAGCCCAGGCCCGTCACCGTGACCTTGCCCCCCGCCCCCTGTCTGTTTGTTTTTCCAACCCAGCTCATCGCCAGCCCGTCATCGGGTGTTGACTCTGCGCATTCCTCCGCAGCAGGGCCGGCTGCCGGTCATTCACCAGCGCTGGCACACGCTGTCCTCCCTCCGCGGCCACTGTGCTGGGCTCCGGCTGCTGATAACTTTAGGGACTCCATGTGAGGAGGTGGGAGAGGTGACCCTGGGTGACTGGCACCACTCGGGGACAGGGGTGTGGAATAATGCTGGCCCCAGCTTGGGCTGGGGATAAAAGCGTCAAGGTCTGCCCAGATCTCAGCCCCTCTTGGCTCTCCCCAGGCAGCTCCGGGACCCATCCTGCATCCACCAGCACCATGGAATCGGGGTGGTCCTGCTGGGTCCTCCTGCTGCTCCTGCTTGCCCCGGCCTGCAGTGGGGGGCCTGGCCCTGTCCTCATCAACCGGCCCTTTGTCACCATCTGGAACATCCCCACCGAGAGCTGCGCCAAGAAGTACAATGTCCCTTTCAACCTGGAGGTCTTCGATGTGTTGGCCAACGACCACCAGTCCTTCATTGGGCAGGACATCACCCTCTTCTACAGCAAGGAGCTGGGACTCCTCCCCTACTACACGGCTGATGGGGTGCCAGTGAATGGGGGGGTCCCCCAAAATGCCAGCCTGCAGGCCCACCTCGACCAGGCCACCCGAGACATTGAGGTCACCCTCCCCAGCCCTGCTTACAGTGGGCTGGCTGTCATTGACTGGGAGAAGTGGCGCCCGCTGTGGATCCGCAACTGGGACTCCATGGCTATCTACCAGCAGAAGTCGGAGGAGCTGGTGCAGCAGCAGCACCCGCAGTGGCCCCCCAAGCTGGTGAAGGAGAGGGCCAAGAAGCAGTTTCAGCAGAGTGCCCACAACTTCATGCAGCAGACTCTGCAGCTGGGTGAGACTCTCCGTCCTGACGGCTACTGGGGTTTCTATGGGTTCCCCAACTGCTACAACAATGACTTTGACAGCCTGCCGTACACTGGGACGTGCCCGGAGGTGGAGCAGCAGAGGAACGAGATGCTATCGTGGCTCTGGCAGAGCAGCCGGGCACTCTACCCCAGCATCTACCTGCCCCCCTCCTTCAATGGCACCAACAAGGCACTCGTCTATGTCCGGCACCGTGTGGCCGAGGCTTTTGCTGTCCAGCGCAGAGTCCTCAAGGACGGCATCCCCGTCCTGCCCTACTCCCAGATTGCCTTCGACCACACCGTTGACTTCCTCTCCCAGGTGATGGGGACATGGGGGCGGTAGGCACTTCTTGGGCTGATGGGTTGGCACTGGGGAGGCTGCCAGAGTGGTGCGAGGTCTTTGGGCACCATTGACTTCTCCTCTCCCCTTGGGTGCAGGAGGACCTGATGAATACCATTGGGGAGAGCGCAGCTCAGGGTGCTGCTGGCATCATCCTCTGGGGCAGCCTCAACTACAGCAAAAAAAAAAGGTGGCGGGCGGCACTGCGCCCCCACCCGCGGGGATCCCCCCCCCCGACCCAGGCTGCGCAGGGCTGTGACACTGTGTGTCATTGCAGGAGATGTGCCTGAGGCTGAAGGACTATGTGGAGGGGCCCCTAGGTCACTACATTGTCAACGTGACAGCCAGCGCTGATCTGTGCAGCCAGAGCCTGTGCTCCGGCCAGGGCCGCTGCGTGCGCCGGGAGAAAAAGCAGGGCTTCCTCCACCTTGACCCCTTCCGCTTCGCCATCAACCTGCAAGTCGGAAAGCCCTGGCTGGTGGCCCAGAGCCTGGAGTCTGGCGACGACATCTCGCAGCTGGCCAAGGAGTTCAGCTGCCAGTGCTACAACAAGTGGCAGGGACCCCGCTGTGACACACAGGGCTTCGCCGAGTGACCTTGCCACCCCTCCCACCCCTACCGGTGACACTAGGGCAGGCAGGGTGACACCACCCTGTGCCCCAGCACCCTCACTGTGGGGCTGGGAACCCAACTGCGGGGCTGCTAATAAAACTGGTAGGCACCCGCAAGCATCTCCTTGTCTTCTGCTGTGGCACGTTTTTGGGGTGGGAGGGTCCCCCAGTGACACCAGTGGTGTCTCAGGATGCT